AGACTGACTTATTAAAATTAAAATTATGGCAGAGTTCTAAAAATATGAAATGAAGAAGGAAATGACAGGAAAGCGACATGGGTAACGCTCGAAAGTAAGACTTATGTCCTTCCTTTCATTTCCCCTAGAAATCACTCGGTTCTGATTTTCATATTCTTGCTTACTAATAAAGGGGGGAGGCTGTGAGTGGTGTGGTGCACGGGTGTGGGAGGTTACAGTGTTGTCTATTAGTGGAATCAACCCTTTCAGTTGACAAAGACAACAACCAAATCTTTCGATGGTTTATTTGATCTGCATGAGAGTGACAGTGGGATTTCTGGCACTTGAATAAGCGGAAACAATATTTTTTGGCTACAGAGATTTCTGAGTTCTCTCAGGGAGCCTTCTAGAAGGCCATCTGGACAAACAGTATTTCTTTTGTAAAGCCCTGCATTTGGAAACACAAATGAAAGGTGTGTGAGCTGTAATCAGATACCTATGAAAATAATTTGCTTTCATATTTTGGGGGTGAGGGAGTGGGTATCATTCTTTGTCATTTTCTAGATGAGAAGACATGTAAGGGGAAAAATGTCTTTTTTCCTTTCTTATTAAGATACGAGTTCCTAATTTATTTTACAGTAGAGAATTTGCTGGCTAATGTGAATTTATGAATTTGCATTATCACTCTCTCATGAGTGAAATTAGAATGTTTCAGGTATGTGATGTTAGTCAGGTGGTGACCTTGGTCTGACCTTTGTAATTGTGAATTGAATCTAGATTTTAAAGATGGACACTTCCCCATCCTTGGTGTTTAGCCAGATTGTGAAGCGATAATTGAAGGGAAAACAGTGGAAAATGTGAAGTGAAATCCTCCCAGAACCAAATAAAACACAGCAAACAGGGTGCTGGGAAGCCGAACTTGTAGCCAACCCTATCTAGCCAGACACTGCAGAAAGATGACCAGTCTAGCAAAGCACCTTTAAAAATCTATGGTATGTGATACACTGTGCTACTGTAGATTTTTTTCTGGTGGAGTCAGAAAAATATAAGTCATTATAGAGTGACTTGGAAAGAAACGGTAAATTCTTATGTTAAGATTCCTGAGATTTTTGACCCTTTTCAAAAAGCAACTACTTCCTTTGGTAGTCATTTTTGTCCAAGACGTAACAGAAAGAGAAATAACTTTGCACTGTGTTCATAATATAGACATGAAAAATATGCATTATCACAGATAGGTGAATGTTTATATTTTGTATAAATATGTATGTTGTATACACTTGTAGAAATTATAAATTTCGTTGCTATCAGCTAATATTAACTATTTACTGGAGGTGCTTTCATTTCATGGTCTAATTTTCATACTTCATATAATTTTTATTTGATAAAAACACAACTATTAAAATCATATTTTAAAAATGAGCAATACTAAATTCAGTTCTGAATGGAGAACTTTCAAATATTATTGGAATCACCATTATGAAAAATATCATTGAAAAGAAAATTAACCTTAAGAATATCCTTTCAATTTAAAACGAATCACATAGAAGTGATTCCTCCTGGCTAAAATAATTATGCCATGTAGATTGGCATTAATTCCTGGGATTACTGACCCCTTTAAAAAAGCAACTACTTCCTTTGGTAGTCATTTTTGTCCAAGAAGTAACAGAAAGAGAAATAACTTTGCACTGTGTTCATAAAATAGACATGAAAAGTAATACCAACAAATATTTTTCTGAAAGGATGGAAGAAATAAACAAGCTTGTTTAATATTGTGATACATATCTCATACTGGATGTCAGCTTTACCTGGAAAGATTTTAACTTATGGGGATGAAAACAGGAGCATAGAGTATGTGGAATGTTTAAAATTTTTCCAACAGATTTTAATAAGAGCAGATCACCTAGAGGCTACAAGGCCAATCTTTACACCTAATTCTTATTAGTAGGCACTTTTGTGCCAGGCAAAATTCTTAAGCCTGAAAATATTTTTAGTTTCCTCAAATAAAGCAGTTACACATATCACCCTGCCAAACAGTGACAGATTATATGAGCAGATCATTTTTTTAATATAAGTATTGTTTAGCTGATATTAAACAAACCTCATTTCCTTAGATTTTATAATTAAAATAGGACCAAAAAATTCCTGTGATGACAAAGTCGGAACACCAATAATTTACTTGTGCATGATCTAAGTATTCCCATGAATTTCGTTATTTGGAGGGGACAGGGAAAAAAAGTAGGACTTTTACTCTTCAACAACAATCACAGTAATGACAACAATGCTACAGAACAGACTCTGCAGCACTGACCGTGAACCTCAGCTGTATCTTTGGCCCTAGGACAGGGTATCATTTAAGATGGGAGTGGGAAGAAAAGCAAAGATACATACATTTGTCTTTTTGGGTCATTTCTACTTAAAAGCATTACTTGAATGAAATTTTCATGGGGTGGGGGGAGAGGTATTTTAGAAATTTACCTGTGTCTCCCCAGGACACAAACCATCCGCTTCCCATCTCTGAGAGTCACCTGCACTGTGGACAAAGTATCCGACATTTGTTTTCATCAGTGACTCACATTTGAAATAAAACAGATTAGATGTTTGTTGAAAGCAATACTTTATACTACTGAGCAATCTATTTATACTAAATCTTTACAAACAGAACCCACATTATTTAAACCCCAAGATCCCTCAAAACCCAGAGTCACCTACCTGCAGACCCAATTTTTGTGACCAGTCAATTTATAGGCAAAGTGAAAGGCACATGTGAACTGGATAAAATAACCATATGTCCCCACTGGAAGCCCCATTACTTGAATCATTTATACCTTGCTGGACAAAGTGCCGGGAGAATGTGCTGGAGGAAACAAATCTCCAGTAACAGGGCAGGGAAGAAATGACCTAATAGTTCATGTCCCTTCCGCTCTAATTTCTGTGATTCTGTGTTAAGAAAAGCTGCCCTGCTCCGCTGGTGTGAAAGCTTATGCCAAACAAGAGACCATTTGTTATTCAAGAAAAACAACAACAACAAAATACAACAGTTCAGAACTTAACACTGAAGTCGCCATCATCAAAATTCAGGACACCTTAGGACCATTTCCCCTGAAAACAGCATTTTCAAGATACAATGGGAAAGTATTGTTTTTCTCATTCAAGAACTTAAAAGTCAAGCTGAGAGTATGTTTCTAGTTTGAATTCTCTCTACTGGCTACTCAAATTCAGGGTGACCTCTCCCCTATCCCCCGAGCGGTTTCCAGCGCCCAGTGGCAACCTGGCGCGTATCTGACATGAGACCGAGTTGAAGGCGCAGTGGAGGAGGCTCGCCCAGTTTGCCTCAGTTTATTATCTGAGTCAGAAGCATTTATCACCTACAACCTGAGCTGGCAGAAGGTGCATAGGGAAGCCTAGAACATTTTTGTGAGTGTGTGCACAGGCAAGAGAGGGTGTGGATGAGGTTATTCGCAAGGATGAAGAAGTACATGGCTCTTTCCCTGCAGGTAAATGCCGGTGTTGATTCATGGAGGATCAGGATTTCTGGGTCAAGATATAGAGGTGGATATAAAACACAAGGTCAGCGCAAAACTGTTTCTGTGACACGCACTGTGTTCCCGGTGGCCTCTCTCCATGGGACGGGAAAGGATGCTATTCATCCTGGAACGGGTGCCCTGTCCCAAGGGCTCGTCTCCATGTCACATATTCTGTGTTTTGATTTAAGTGCAGGTCTGTGTAGAGGTGAGCTTGGTGTGTGTGTGGGGGTGAGCTGCCTGTGGCTTGCAGCTCAGGTGGTGGGTGATAAATGCTTCCGACTCAAATAATAAACTGAGGCAAACTGGGTGAGCCTCCTCCACTGCCCCTTCAACTTGGTCTCACGTCAGATACGCGCCAGGTTGCCACTGCACACTGGAAACCGCTCAGGTGTCCAGAGAAGGAGGAAGGGAGTGACCACTTTCATACTGTTAGCCACTTTTGCAAAATCCTAGGATTTTCTGGTGATTTTTACAGTCAGTGACAGCGTGACACGGTTCACAATGACCCACGGGTTCACCACTGAAAACCAGTTTTGTTCTTCTTTCCCCCGACCCCTTCTTTTTGCAGGGGAGGGAATTGTTTAGCATCTAGAACCTTGGACATTCTTTCTCCCCTAAGTAATTTTGCACCGGAGGTATCGAAACTTCACTCCTTACGAAAGTAACGAGGCCAAGTTCAGCTGTTACCTTCAGGATAGATTTACAAATGCAACTTTCCCCCATTCCCTTAAAAAGAGGCAAACGGTATTATTGCAAATAACCTTTAAGATAATTAGCTGACAATGCTGCAACTAGCATAAAATCTTCCTTCAGGCGACACCTAATTTAAGTGTTACTGGCACAAAGTGGAGACAGATTGCGCATCGCTGCTGCAATATTTACATAGCAGAAACCCACAGAGCAGGAAGCGCGGGACTCAATGATGCACTAAATTAGGAACAACTCCAGTGTGTTAATTTGCTTTCCATTCTATCCAAATCTCGGCTCCAGATATGGGTGCAAACACATATACAACCTCCCACTCTGACACGACGAAAACCGGAGGAGACGTCTGTACTCCCCCCACCCCAAATTAAAATAACTTGAAATTTATTTCGTCTCGCGACACGAACCATTTGATCAAACTGTGTTTATTTCTTTACCACTTGCTCTCGCTTTGAACTACAATTATTTTCATACGAATCTTATTTTCATCAGAGTCTATAGAGAAAAACTAAACAGACTTCTTTGATTTTCTCCAAGGCTGCCAAGATAGCTTATGAAAAGACTAAAGTGAGCCTTAGGAGGCAGTGAGTGAAACAGCTAGGAAGGTGGAAGGGCACCTTGACCTTAAGTGAATTTCTCACTGGTGAATGTGATGTCCCCACAACCCCCATCCCTCCCCCCCAAAACAACGAGTTTTTTAAAAACCATTCAAACAATATTTTATACCCGTTCATCCGTCCAGGGGTTCTTTTAAACACCAACTTCGACCCAAGGCATTCACAAAACATTTACCTTTCCTAAGTGTTGATGTTCTTTAAAGGCAGCGATCAGCTCTTCAGCCCACTTAATTTTTTCAGGAGAAGGAGTAAACTGGGCCTGGACCACTGCAATTTGGTTTGGGTGGATCACCTGCTTACCTAGATTAATAACACCGGAAACAAAAACAACAGACAGATGTTCAAGCAAAATGTCTCAGCCCCCGCCGGGCTCCTGAGTGCCTCGCAGACTGTATGTAAAATAACTAATTATTTTAGAACTATTTTAAAAAGAAAAAAAAAAAACCCACAATTGGGCAGGCTTTTCCGGAATACCACATAAGAACAAATACAACAATGGGAGTAATTGTGTTTCTGATCCTATAGAAATGCCACCTTCGAACAGATAATCCCTCATTTTTAGTTACAGGTGGACGGAGCAGGCGGCTCCTGTGCTTTGGCTGGAACTTTAGAGGATAATGTCTGTAAATCAGAGTTGTTATCTTGTGTTAAAGCAGGCAAAAATGATATGTTAATTCAAATTTTAAAAGACGTTGTCCTTTACTTATTTGGGGCCATTATCCCATTTCTGATTTCTTTTAAAAGTGGTCTGTGGTCTTCATCAAGCTCACAACAGCAGACATTACAACTGTATTAATATCACATCATGCCTTACAGTAATAGATTTAATTTTCTGTCTTTTAGATGAATATTGGGTGTCATTTTCTAACCACTATTAAAAAATGGATTTCAATGAAAAAATTGTCTTCAGTACAGGAAAACAGAAGGCAGATTTGAACACTGTAGTCTCTGGAATATTGCACTTTAAAGTGTTTAAATAAATTACAGACAGTTTCTTTGTCCACAAACATAACCAAATTTTTCCTTTTTTCTTATAGAATGAAGACTGCATATTTCCTTCTTAGAAATATACCTAGACACCCCAGAAGAAATCTCCTCTGTCTAGTAATGGTTTTAACAAAGCTTTCTACCTTCTTTTAGAGCTTAGGAATCTAAAGTAAAACATTATATAAAGATAAGAGTCATAGGATTCTAAGAATCATACGGTCTTAAAAAAAATTAATGAGGAAAGAGCAGAATCTAATCAGCCCATTAACAAAATGCAACATAATTTAATGTTATGATCATGATGAAATTATATTTTATTACATGATAAAATTATGGGCATATTTGCTTCTTTAAAAATGAATGTACACTTAATGAAAATTTCCTCGGCTAAATGTATTTGTTGGTATGTCAAATTTGCTTTGATTTTGAAATAGTTGTGTTAACATTTAGCTTGAACAAAGAATATTCTGATTTATAAAATGTCAGTTCCTATTGTTGTCATTATTAGTCTACTGAATAGAAAAAAGAACACTATTTGTAAAAAAATATTTTTAGTATGAAAAAGTTTAAGTGGAAAAATATAACAATATTTTCCTTTACGGTGGCATAAGGAAAACTCTCACATCGCTACTGCATTACCTTATTAGCATATGTTAAAAACCTATACAAATAAAGATGCTTCAAATTATTTGGGGAATCATCTCTGAGAACAAACAACATCAGTGATAACAAATAAGAGCTTTTTGGATAGTAGGCATTGAGAGGATATTTAAGTAATCTAATAGTTGTTACAATATTATTAATAAAGGATGTCAGTCCTGGTGTCATTTTCTCCTAATTGTGAGTTCGGAATTTTCTAATTTATGTACATAATTTACACTGCTGTGAAAAAAAGCGAGATTTCACGGGAACTTCATGATATGGACATTATCATTTGTGGAGCAAACAATTTAAAATACTCTGAACCAATGGATGGCTTTTGAGTATCCCAATTTTGGTAATGAGGCTGACTCTAAGCTATGTGCTAGGTTTTCGAAATTTCTGAACATCCATATGTGAAATTATCTTTTGTCACTTCTTACACATCCCAGCAACTGAACACCAGACCTTACTGCAATGTGGGAGTGGAGCAAATATTTTATACAGAAGAGTTGTTATTGACAAGTTACTGAGAGGGTGCAAAATTGGAAGACATTAAAATTTATGACCATGAAATCCTTTTTACAGTACCACTTGATAGATCGTGTTTTAAATCAATACCTGTCAAGTCTTTTAGGTAACTGTATGATGGTGTCATTTTTGTCTTCTACAAAAGACTGCAAAAAAGAAGAAAACCTATAGCTCTTCATATTTATAATCCTTCTCAGCATGTAGCCTTGAAGAAACTGTGATGACTAAGTCAGCTGTTAAAGCTTTCTTCCAAGATTTATTTTTGGGTTCTTTTTATAAAAATAATTCCTAAAGTTAATAGCCGTTCATACAGCCAATGCATTGATTTAAAATCAATCTACATGGATCGTGGCCTGTGAAACAATGACTGCAGAACAGAAACTACAACCCACTGTTGGATGCCCGGCTAACTTTAAAAAACTGCAACTCATTCAAAATATATCGAATTTTCAAAAGTACAGAGCATTCTGGTAGCACAGACTGAGTTTCCACAGCAGTGCCATGGACAGCATACTTTCATTAGATTTTAAACCTTCAGCCACCTTCCTCAAACGGGGTGTGCCTTTCTCCTCACTGACCCCCCCCCCCATCTCCCCTGTTCCTCTCTCTCTATCCTCTCCTCCCTTCTTGTTCACAGCCCAAGGTATGGCCATGAAATGACAAATACTTAGGACAAACAGATCATGTGTGGTCTACAATACTCATGAAAGCATTTATTTAAAAAAAATACTACAAATAATCTTATATCTTGTCATCAGACCAACTACCTTTAATTGGCATTGTAACTCTACAAGGGGGACAACAAAGACCTTCTTTTTGAAAATTGCGAAGTGGCTATGAGCTATGAGAGTGGAGCTCCCCCTTTGCTGACTTGAACATCGAACAGGCACTGTACCCTTGGTGCCTCCCCGTGCCCCCCCTGCTTCCATTTTTTGTGACTTAATACTCCCTGTTGTTGAGAGACAATGGTGCCAGGACCATAAGCTCCTCATGCTGAGCTGGGCACAGTGTAGAAATTTAAATCTGATTTGAACTAACTTGTCTTCTGCGATTGAATTAGGGGACCCCCTTTATTCAGTGCTGTATCTTGGAGAAACTCTCCAGCTCCCTTAGAAGTTGTGGAGCAAACGCTTTTCTCTGAGGACGCTGAGGACGCCTGGGTTCTGGCGCGCGATGGTGACAGGCGGGCATCGAGTCAGTGTTTTCCAGTTTTGACTAAATTAGTGCCCATTTTAGAGCAACATCTGGCTGCTTGGCAGCCGATGCCACACATTTTAGACCAACAATATTGGGATCTATTAGATAGATTTCATGGAGTTTTTCTCCGACTTTTCCTTTTGGGCCTCCTCCTAACTGGTGGGTGGAAGGAGGCAGGTGTAATAGGCCCCAAGGACCAGGGGGACCCAGAGAAAAGGCGTAAGGGACCCTCCATACCAGTCACTGCTAAGTTCAGGGAGGACTCCTTTATGAGTTCCGATGACTGAAAAATACTTCTCTAGAAGATCTCATTTATTTACTTGTTTACTTAAAAATTTGGGGCAATCTCCTTTTGATTCTTTTTACTCTGTTAAAAACACAAAAGCAAAAGTTGATGGTTTATGGAGTCCTAGCACAACACTAACACTGTCTCTGGCATCTTTCCTTTTTATGTCGGTGATATCATCGTCCAGTCTGCTATCTTTTACACTGAAGGGGACCTCATGAAATGATTCTGCCAGTACCCCCTGGCTGGACGGTCTCAGCATATGCCCAAGAGGGAGAGCAAGGATGCTTGTCTCTTTCCCTTATTCTCTGGGTACCTTCCTGATAATGATATTCTTGGCACTGGCAGCAGCACAAGCAAGAAGAGGTGCTTTCTAATCTGGTTGCGCGTGTGCACACGCATGCGCGCTGCCGACGGGTGCTTGTGCACAGAAGCCTATTGTAGTTTTTCAAAAAATAGATTTCTGTTGCAAAAACACAATTTTCAGTTGCCCCCCCGGGCTCCTGGGGAGATGAGTGATGGGGCACACCAATCAACAGATATCCGCCTGCGCCCCAGGACTGGACTGCAAGGGACTGGCTGCTCTTAGCGCCAGCCGATGCCCTCAGGTGTCGCCAGGTGCACAGACGCTTCCTGGGAGGTGGGAGAGAAAGGAGGGGCTCGGAGTGCCCGCAGAATAAAAAACTAGTTATCAGTGAAAAAATAAATCAAAGAAGAAATCACCATTTTTTTCGGGGGGAGGGAAATAAATGAATAATTTAAGTATTTCAGGAAATTTTTCTTCTCCCCATCAACCCAAATTTTTATGGCAATTCACTCCAAACACTTCCACAGCAGCCTCTTCCCTTCCTCCGGGTCAGTAGAAGCTGCGACAAAATACGTAAGAGGGCAGGAAAAAAAGATAACTGCCAAGAAAAAAGAGAAAATGGAATGTGGAATTTGTTTCTGGCTTTGCAGAGCCAAAGACTATTTGTTTGGCAGGTTCTTGCTCTGGGTGGCTTTTTTGTGTTTCAAATAGTGGGATGAATCTATGAGGCACCTGCGACAGTAGAAACAGTCATTTCTGGTTAATTTCTACTTTTCTGGAATGTTCGCTGACTGGACACTGCTTTCTGAGACAGTGGGGAGAGTCCTACCAGTGAATCCCATGGCGGCGCCTTCTCGTGACTGCCTTAGAAGCCCCTCTTCGTCCCGATAGTCGATGTACACCAGGTCGACGGCCTGCAGGCCAAAGGCCTTGGCTACCACCACGATCTTCTGTCGGGCATAGAGAATGTCTTGGCTTCCCTTACTACTTGTTGCACCTGCAAAAGGGGTGTTGACACAAAAAGGAGAGGTTCGCTTTGGAAACTGAACCCAGCTATTTCCTCTAAGAATACAGTTTGTAAAGACACCTCGGCCTTCCTGGAAACTGCTTCCCAGCAAAAGTGACTCCAAGATAAGTGCAGAGTGTGCCGTGTGGGACAGAGTTAAAGAAACCTCAGGGCTGCCTATATCTTCCAGTATAATTTCTTGGGGGTGTATTAAGAAAAACCCCTCTTCCTCTCAGGAGATAGAATCACAAATAGCACAGAGGTGACAAAGGACGTTGGGCATATCTTTTCCTTCCTGCCACTGTGTTAGAAAGTGTCAGTGCAGAGATAGCACCACAAAAGGCAACCATTAGCTGTGCAGGGAAGGGGTTAACTCCTCGCAGAACAGGGCGATCCCAGGGCTCTGGCTGAGCTGCCCTGTCCAGACAGGGCCTGAGCCAAGTGCTGCAGTTTCAGGTTTGGAGGGGGACCATGGAGAAATGTAGGGCGCTGCTTCTGAGAAAGGGGAAAGTGTTCACTGAAGGGCTATGCTAAAGTCTCCTGGGAAGACCGGTATTGAAATAAATTCCTGCCTTTCACCCCGGGGAGGGGGTGTCTCTGTTACTATCCGCCCAGGTACTGCTCAGGTCCCTGGGACGGGGGTTCTATAAAAGCTTTGTGGTCTTGGCCTCTTTTCTAGATGCATCCACAGTCTCTAGTTCCACAGAGCCCAGGCCAGCGGCAGAATGACGCAGGGATGGAGAAGAGAAGAGATCACAAGTTCACTCTCCCAGTAAATATTTCCCATAAAGAAGAGTTGTGATAGATACAGTTTAAGCCTTATTTTAGATATTCATTTAAGGTAGCAAGTGACTCAAGCAAATGTGAAATTGCCTTAAATTTGGGTTAGAGGCCCAGACTGATGTGAAAACAAAATACTGAAGCAGCAGAGAGGAAGTCCACATGTTATACTTATTACAAAGAAAGTAGATGCCGGATGTTGCGCAATATGTGTGAGGCTGCAACAGGCTTTTTATTAGTTATCTTATAAATGAGCAGAAGTTATGCTGTGATGCTGTGGACACAGGAAAGCTGGGAGGAGAACAGAATTATCAGGAAGGGCTGCCCACTGAGTTGAAACACCATTGTCAGGGTTGACAAATATACATTGTCATGTAAATGTACATTTGTGAGGAGGCAGAGAAAAAATATGCACACATATACTGAGGGTGAGGGGGAGAGAGGGAGAGAAAGATGGAGGGATGGAGAGGGGAGAGAGTTTAGTCTTTGATACACCTATGCTGGCTCGGAAGTCTTCTCCTCCAAAAACGACTGCATCTAGAAAAAGACCTGCTGGAGGCCCGGTCCTCACTGCTTCTTCACACACCGCCTGCAAAAGAGCAGAACAGAACCAAACCTCAGAGACACGCACGCATGAGAAGTCACAGGGTGTTTTTTAGTAACAGAAAAGATCCAACTCCTAACCGTTTGGCTGAAAGCTGCCCTAACAATGCAGCCCAAATTCAAAAGTACAGTGTACATATTTTTTGCTGAATGCAGTTTATGAATTTTAAAGTTCAAATCGTTGCTCAGGCCACTTCTAGAGAAACTTGGAGTTAACTCATTTTGATTGTACTATAAGTTATTGTTCTCCAAAATTTGTTTTTGCTTTAAGAGACTCTCAAGCAAAAAATGGAAAACCACAGGAGAGAAGGAAAGAATTTTTAAATCAAACTAATTGGATTATTTGTATTAGGATCGAGGTTTCCTGGTAAACGGTCTCAGGATTAAAAGCATACAGTACAAAAACCTAGAACTCCAGAGGGGAAAATAAAAATAAAACAAGCCAGCCAAGATGTATTAATATGCAACTTGGACATTTCTCTGTGAAAATAAAGACAAACAGCATCAGTTCCAGACATAAGTATGACTGCACAAAGGTGGAGAGGCAGCATATGTTGGGGGGAGGCATGAGAAATAGGTGAGGACACTGTTGATTCATTTCAGGGGCTGCAAGTATTTCTAAGAATGCTATGGAATAAAATGGCCAAACAGTGCCCCAAATTCTACCACTGTATGAATCTAGTTGCATCGAAGGGATACTCGTTGATCGCATTCTGAGAATGCTGGGGCGGACCGGGAGGATGTGTGGCTGGTGTGCAAGCACACTCATCACCAGGTCTGAAACATGCCCCAAACGTTTGCACTCTGCCTGGCCCAGAGGGCTCCAAGTTTCCTTCCGAGCATCTGCCCCTATTATCTCTCCAGAGCAGTCCGGCTCTCTTTTTGCTTTGCTTTTGGGGTGTCTTCTCCTGGGTCCTTGGTGGGGTGTTACACTGATGCTCACAGGTCAGGTGGCAGGGGAGGCTTATTTCGTAAAAAATTTAAAGGGCTACTGATAAAGGGGGAAAAGAACAAGTTGGCTGTGAATTTTTAGATCAAACTAACTGGATTATTTATATTAGTTTTAAGGCAACCACAAAATGGAGGAAAACTCATCTTCCTGAAAGCATATTAGAAAATATTTTATATATGAGTATGGAAAATCGAAATAACATTATTATTTATAGTATACCACAAATTATTTGTGTATACTAACTTACAAATAGCAATCTTTTTCTACCAGATATCATATTGTCACAGAGGTCAGAAAATTCCCCCAGGAAAAGGCAATTTATACAAAAGAATAAATATAATGATTCAAAGTATATATGCACACAGTGATTAATTCAAATTATTGCTAGGAATAGAAAAATACTTCATTGAAACACTGAGGACTGGAAGTTTTTTTACTAGCTAGCCATTTTTTTTTTTAAGATTCCCACAACCTGGTTTTTGGATGATTACAGTTAACAAATGGTGCTGAGTTTTATTTTGCTTATAAATCTTCCTAGAAAAATATTTTGAGTAGATGTTAAAATCGAAAACAAAAGTTCTGTTAAATTCCAACTTATTAGTCCCACTAAGGTTTTCTTACCTTAAAATTGAGTAAACCCATGGCAGTTTCCACAAAAGGGATTAAATTCATTGGTTGTTCAAGTTTTCGGCCTTTTAAGTAGAACGAAAATTTGTCTGAAAACTAAAATCAAAAGTGTCATAGGTGATTAGTGGGGGGAAAATGTACAATCACTGAAATGTAGACGCAGAGAAGCAGTATTTAAGTCTTTTTGACCTGAGGAAGTACTATCCCAGCCTCTTTCAGGCGCACAATAGAATTAAAAAAAAAAAAAGGAGGCAAGACCAAAGAAAAAAGGTAACAAAGTTCCCACCAAACTAAATAGCAAAACCCCAAGCATTATAATTTTTTTTTTTCCCCTAAAGGAGCAATTTGAGGCCTAGGAGTGAGAACTGGAAGGAGAGGCTCTCGAGTTCAAATGCTTTCCGTGAAAACATATTCACTGAAGACGTCTGTTCCCACTCCGCTCAATGCAAGTGCTGGGCCCCTAAAACAATAGGGACTTGCCCTACCTGCCACTATTCTGTTTTTGTTTCCTGCCCAGCACAGCACTGACATCGGCGTGGCTGCTCGGCAGCTTTCCACGTGGAATTCATATTTTTCATCAGAGCACCACCACCCTTTGTTCCAAAGGTTTTTCTTCATAATTTTTAGCTTACCTAGGAAGACCTTAAAAAGGAAGTTTAATTCTTTGAAGACCAAAGCTCGCCAATTTTTTCCATGAGACCAGTTCACAGCGAGCTCTCTGCTGCCAGTGGGGTAGCCCAAATTCCAAAATCTATCATCTGGAAACATACAAAAGGTCTTGCACGAATCCCCCCACCCCCCCCTTTCAAAAGGAAAAAAAAAAAAAAAAAAAACAACACCACACTCTAAATTGTAAATCTATTATGTCTATCTAGATCTAATAAGATGTGGGGAGATTAAAAAAAAAAAAAAACCAAATCACACAGGTATGATAAAGATATTTTTGTAAATAAAGATGAAACCATATCTATCCATTTTAAATTTAAGGAATATTCAGCCATTAATGGATATCAAAGGAAAAGGGAATTTTAATCATCTCTCCATTCAGTCTCAGTTGGGTAAATCATATCTAAGAGATTTGCATAAATATAAACCATCAAAGACTTTTCATCTTCAAAGGGGGTTTCAAGACCCTATAAGCTTTGTACTGTAATCATCGCAGGTCACCACCCTGCAGGAATAGGGCTGCTATGGCAACATAAAAAAACTAATGCTTAAGGCTTAGCATAATATTCTGACTAATAGAAAGGAAACTCATTTTAAAAGCTGGCAGCCTATTTACCAGAAGCAGGATTAGAGGTGTTATTTCCCCTTTTAGCTGCCCCCTCCTTGCCTGCGCTGCCCCCACCCCCCGAAAAAATCTAATCACTGGGATCTTTAAAAAGCTTTTGAGCAATTTGCAGTAACTTTACAATTAGGCTAAAATAAATCACAGCTTTCAGTAATGAAGAATTATTCCCAGTTGCTCCCCTGCCCCTCCCTCTCAGCACCATCATCATCACCTCCTTAGTAACTTTGCAAGGGAAGGCATAACTCAGCCCAAAGAGCACAGAAGAGGAGACGCGACAATTGAGGGGACAAAATCTACAGTAGTGCACGTAAAGGAAAATACAACATGATTTTTCACACGGAAGCTGGCGGGGGGAGGGAAGCGAGCAGTGAAATATCAGTGGTTTGGGTGTTACAGAGGCGCCAGAGGAGTTTTTTTCCTCCTTAAAAAAAAAACTTGCAGAGCTACTTATCCCATTTTTTGTGATAATAGTTCTAACTACAAATCCACGGAGTTTAAAACTCGGCAAGCCCTTGGCACAACATAGTCCCTGTTCTTAGGGATAGAAAAATCTCTCATGGCACTTCTTTTTTTTTTTTAAAGCCAAATAGGGGCATTTTAAAATGAAATATGCCAGCCCAGCCTCCTCTTCCTCCCCCACTTCTTTCTTAAAAAATTGCATTAAGTACTAACACAAAAGGTAACTAGTGGAGAAGTTTCAATTAATTTTTTCAAAAGGAGACGATTAAATGTTTCCGGCCTGGTAAAGTGTTCATTTCAGCGAGGTGGAGGCGACTGGGGGCGGGGGGAGTGGGGGGGGCGAGAAGGGGGGACACATCACAAAGAGATTGGGGAGGAGATGAAGTAGCAGGGCTCAGCGATTCTTTCAATGGCAGTGCACACCCAATAGCGTGCGGGAAGAATGCACACGGTTCGGGATTTGTGGGAGAATTGTCCCGCGACAAAGGAGGCAGAGTCACGCTTGTTATAGTCCAATAAAGCCGTGCCAGTCAAACAAGAACCCACACCAGTGACAAAAGGCCAGCGAGAGATTCTCACACAAAAGAAAACAAGGAAGCCCATCTTTCAGTAGTGCGGCGGGCTCTGGGTTTTATGCTTCACATAAATACAAACGGAGAGGAAAAAATAAACAGCCCGAAAGACTTCTGTTAACTAGAAATCCTATTTAGGTGGCAGGACGTTCCTCACATCCAAGGATTTAAAACCTCGAACAGAAGCCCGGGCTGAAGGCTGGGGTGGGGCCTCGCCGCTCAGATGAAGGGTGCTGGCGGGGATAAATAGGCATGAACTAAGAAACCAAAGGGAAACAGCGACTTCGGGTTCTATTTCAATCAACTTGAGACACATTCCGAGGGGGTGGGAGCCGGGGCCGCGAGGAAGCGCCTGTCACCAGCCTCTCCCGGCTCCTGGGGGGTGACCTGGACACAACTCCAGCTTAGTAAGTAAAACGGGCCGGGCCACCGGGGTCTCCGAGAGGCCGCCAGCTCGGCGCTGTCCGGCGGGAGAGGAGCAGGTGGCATCTGTGAGCCCACCTTTCCTAGTGGCGACAAGAGAGGGGTCAAAGGAAACGGGTGGATTTAATTTGCATCATATGCTTATGCGATCCCCTCTAGCTGAAATATTAGCATTTCAACATGTAATCACTCTAAAAAAATATTGAGATAATTTATATCCTTTGGTGGGGGGGGGGGCAGGTAGGGGTGGAAGACTACCGAGCCCTCAAAACCCTGGATGGATTTTATATTCGCGGCACATCTCAATTTGGACCTGCCACGTTTCCTGTGCTCAGCTGCCACGTGTGGCCGGCCACGGCACAGATGGACCCATCTACCCGCACTGAACGGGGAGCAGTCCCCTCGGGGGTGACAAGGACTCCGCGTGTGGCTGTCCACACCCCTTGCCAGGCACTCGCAGCCCCTCTGCCCTGCGGCTGTGACTTTATTCAGCAAAGACCTGGAGGATCCTGGCAACCCCAGAATAAAACCTCGCTCCCCACCTTCCTTCCCTTTAACAACGAAAACAATCGCAGTATAATTAGACCCATTTCAAAGTTTTTTCAAGTAATGTGACATGCCAACCACTTTACATGTCAGCTTTTTATTGGCTGAAAAGTCGGCCTTGAAACACAAACACACCTGTCAGCAATTTAGAAAGGACGGGCTAGAGACCTGCTCAGGAAATAATATCTGCGCTAATTAAAACCACTAGTTAAAAGCTTCCTGTTGGTCCCTCTGGTTGCCCTAACGAGTGACCTTTCCCTCTTCGTCTCTAGCTGCGCTGTTTCATGGGCGGCGAATGTGCTTTCACTGTCTAGAATGATTTCCAGGGAATCTGGGCGAGAATCATGACGTCAACGCCCCTCCTGGGGGGGCCTGGGGTGCAAGACGCCATCCAGGCTGGACCGCTTTCCAGGCGTGGTTCCGTGAGGGCTGGTGAGCCACTGGGTCCAAACCACAAAGCTCCCCAGAGAGCAGAAGCATCATGTCTAAGGCGGAGCTGCTCCCGAGGACGCTTTGGGGGACAGGCGTGGTCTCTGGGGCCATGTCTCCCCTGTCTCCAGGCCCTGCCTGTCTGCTCTGAGTACACCTTTCCAGAACCTGCAGGGCCCAGACCTTCCTCTCTGCTACATCCTCCTCAGCACCTCTCGAGTCTTCAGTTAAAGCAGAGTGTCCTCTACTCACCCACTGGATGTCCTCAGGACTTTCCACCTTGGGCAGCATCAGGCTGGAGGGCAGGACCCGGGACTGCAGAAGCGCCTCCAGGTCCTCTTCGGCCAGGCCGCTGGACACGGAGTTGATTCGCACGCACTTTTCTGTGGGGCCCAGGTCAAAGTCTTCAAGAGTTTTTACTATTCTCAGTCGCGCTTCACTCTAGAAGTGTCAGTAAAATGTAGCTGTTCAGTTTATTGATCACCGAGAGGAAACACGATTGAACAGTGTGTGAAACTACTATAGGGGTTCAGCGTCTGGGTGCCATTATTGTATCTGCAAATTTTCTGTCCACCGAGTCAATGGTAACCTATCCGACAGGCAAGAGGTTCCAAATTTCACTGATGGAGACCAGAACGGAGGTGACGGCTACATTGGGGTACCTCGAGCTCACTAGATTTACTTTCCAAATGGAAAGGAAAAGCCACAAATAGGAGACTTTATTGAGCATTTATAAGTGCCAGGCAAGGTTCTAAGTCCTCAGCCTGCATTTACTCATTTAACAAATATCAGAACTGGTTAACCTATGGATAATGGTAATCTCGTCTGTCAGCAAATTCACATTTGGGGAAAAATAAGGATTTATTTCTCTTTTCTCACATGCATTCAGATTTTTACTCGCTTTTTTTCTCTTTCTCTTTTTCTGCAATTGAGTTGAATCTTGACATTCAATTAGGAAGGCACTCAGGAAAATGTCACTCCACGCTATAAAAAAGCTCCACCTTATTCAGTAGGCAAAATTATCACCAAGAAATGCCTTCGTAAAGTGGCAGAAAATACAGTTTTGCCTTTGATTTGACAGTTCTTTGCTCCACCGTAAAGCTGAGCGATTGCATGCCCGCTTCAGTATTTGAATTGTCCCCAGAAAAATGGTATTAAACCAAACTCGTATTTATTGGCTTTGAGTTGGGGGTGACAAGGCTGGGGAGGGGAGTGGGGAGAGAAAGGAGTACATTGAGGGGGTGGGGGTTGGCGCCAAGAGAAAGAAAGCACTTGGGGTCATTACTTCCTGCCAATTTCAGTTTCAAAAACAAATTCCTCCAACTTGCCAACAGCCCTCAACAAATTCTCATTGTCAGAATGAACACGTATCAAAAGCAGTTTCATTTGGGAAGGGAGTTTATGATCCTAATAAAACTTTAAAGCTCCTCATTGCTGATGAATGTGGTTAAAAAAAAAGTCTTGACAATATAGAAGGATTTGAACAGCCATACTTATCGGGGAAAACAGCAAACCGGAGTGGGGACAAAAAGGAATTACTTGGGCCCATGGAGGGCCTGAGTCCAATGACAGTAGATTAAGCCAGACGGACTGACTAGGTCTGAGCGGTGGCTGAGAGCGTCAGCAGGGCTGGTAATAGCACGGGGGGGGGGGGGGGATCCATTTAAGCCAGCTCGCTGGTCCTGATTTACGGGGCCCTGGGGACCAAGAATTGGGCCAGGCCTGGAGAACAGAGGCCGTACTCAGGCCAGCCAAAGCCGGGGTGTCAGCCTGCGGGTGCCGCTGGCGACCCCGCAGCTTTCAGGCTCTCCTGCATCTCTCAGCCCGGCCCTCTTGGGACTCCTCACTACATGTGAACGTACCCGAAGGTGAGGAGCAAGTGTGAGCTCACTCAGGACTCTGGGCTGTGGGGAGACGGGCTGCTTCCTCTTGGGCAGTGTGGACCCAGCACCCCTTAGCCTGAACAGCAAGCCATGTGGGTTGGCTCCAGCTTGCCAAGGGTCCTCGTTGGCATAGAGTGAATGGAAAATGGAGGGGAGCGGATGAGATCGTTTAGGCCGAAGTGCCTTTCAAAACGGAATTGTTGGGTGCTTTATGCCCGTTCACTCACCTGCACGCGCCTGACACAGGACTCCTGTCAAGATCTGCTTCCTCGGTTGCCACTGTAGGTGCCCAACAAAATCTGACCTCTAAGCTGTTTTTTTGCTTCACTGGGTTTGCAGGGGACTGTTTGTTCAAAGCCCATGTTCTCAACCTGTTTGTGATTTTTATCCCAAGTCAGATTGCCATGGTTTCAGCACATTCTGATTTACTTAGTAAAATTCAACCCTTGTGAAATTGGCTGCAAATGAAGTACCTAATTCCAATTTTAGGCATAATCTGATTAGTACCTTTCATGTTATAATAATGAGCAGAGAATACTCAGCATTTTATTGGACTTTTTTTTCCTCCCCATTTTGGCTCAGAATGAAAAGACCAAGCTCTTTCCATCATTCTGCACCTTCCCCAAATGAAGAGGATGACTCTTGAGGTCTGCGGCTACACAATGCCTCATTATTGGGCTGCTGCTTGTTGCAACAGACATAAACTAAGTGCGCGTCGTTCTGCCAGGTATTCTGAAATACCAGCTTCACTGACTCTACACCACGGACAAGCATGTTGACTTTTCTTCCCTTTGGTATTTTATTTATTTATTTTTAAGATTTATTTTTATTTATTCATGCATACAAGAACTGGGGTGTAGGCCAGAGGTGCGGGGGGCGAGAGGATTCACCAGAGACGGAGTGGGGAGCAGAACAGGCAGATCTACTGAAATACACTGCTGAGGGGAGCAGCAGGGAGACAGGAGAGGTCTGCTGTGCCCTGTGGGTCAGCTCCCTGGTGGGGGGGAGTCTGGGATTGGGGAATGGGGGATCGAGCTCAGACCGCAGTGGATAACTTGATAATGCTGTGACTTTAACCCCTGAGTCACCAGGGAGGCCCCCCTCTTTGGTTATTTTAATGGTGAACTATGTTTCTGTGTGAGCGAACACTACCATCAGTGGGGTGACAGCAGCCCAGTTTCTAAGAACAATCCAGTTAGTTCTGGGCATTGTGTTAGACAGAGGCTCAGTCCACCCGCTGAGGGAAGAAAGGAATCCTGTTCATTCTCTTGTCTGCCTCCCTCTCTGTCCTCCTTCAGCCCCCCACCCCGCCTCCCTGACATCACTCCTCCACCACTTTGCTGTCTTCACTTCCACTTACTTTCACACCCTTTTTCTTGGGCTCCTGTCTGGCTCTGCTATCCTTCCAATGTCTGTCTTACCAGAGGCCACACTGTCTTCTCAGAAGACTTATCTGGGCATGTGCTGAGATTACTGGGAGGTAAATGCACTCCCTGGAGAAAGAAGGAAAAGAAAACGAAGCAAAGAGGTCATCTAAAAAAAGATCTTTTTTCCTGAAGGGGGGTGAGGTGGGAGAGAGATATTTTATATGTTGGTAACAAAACAGGTTGTTCAAACGGAGAGTTAAAAGGACTGTGTTCTAAATGTGTGAGCATTACAGGACAGCCTTGGGAACTGCTTCTCAATGTGGGATGAACCTGTCCCCCTAAGATAGGACAGCCTTGGGGAGACAGTCATGGAATCAAGGCCTTTGTGAACAGCACGTTGGTCTCTGCAGGGACTCGTTCCCGAGTGGGTTCTGTAGCAGGTTTGATTCTGGAGGGGGCTCTGCAAAGGTCCCAGTGAATTTGGGCAGGGATCAGAATCTTCACAGGCCACTAGAGTGGCCCCTCCATTCGACAGTTGGTGCTCCGGGCCGGGGAGTTGTGGCTAATGAACTTGTCCTTACACGGAAGCCACCGTGTGATGGGACCCAGGCTGGGCCAGGAACAGGCTTGCTATCATTTCAGAGACTGGGTTCTTGTCACCAGGGAAGAGCCACGCTCCAGTGACGTCAGGCAGCAGAGAAATCCACTGACACCAAGACCCGCAGACTCCGAAATTAAAGGAGAAAATCTGCGTGCAGTTGGTTCAATTGGCACCCATTAAAGCTAATAACTAATCATCCTCACAAGTTTCTAGCTCCGAATGATCAAATCTGCAAAGAAAACAACATCCGTCCACTTTTACACTCCAGTGGAAGAGGTGGTCCCTCGCGGCGGGGCGGCACAGTCTCGCCATCTGGAGAATAAATCGGGTGTGAAGTACAGTATAGTTTGGGACCAAGCTCCGTGGCGGCGGCTCAGCAGTCAGTTCATTAGTTCCAAACTTCCAAGGATTAGAGCCGCATCAATTCTACTGTCGGATAGGGAGAGACAGACAGGACACGGGGTTCAAGAGGATGGTGACCGCCAGGAGGAGCCCCTTGGGCTTATTTATAAAACTACCGAGTACAAACATACACAAGTAAGTGACTTAAATAACAGCAACATCTCAGTTTCCTAACATCTGCGTTAACACCCCGCCCTTCCCCTCATTCCTCAGCCTCGTGGGTGACGGAGGGTGGTTTCCAGAGGAAATCCAAAGACAACGTTGGGCTCAACGGGAGAAAGGTGGAAGCTGGAGGCCCACCCCAGGTCTGGTAATGAAGAAATGGGGAAGACTTTGTAGACTCCAGGGAGACAGGCAACACTGTGGTTTTTAAAAATGTATGAAATGTCCCAACCTGCAAAAGGCAAATGGCCACGCCACTGACTTAAAAATATGAACGGAGTCCGTCTCTCCTGAATTTGCCATCTCATCTCATTTTCACTTTAGCTACTTCCTAAAAGGGTCTTGCAGGCATAGAATGGAACAAATTTGGGGCATCAGGCCCTGATATCAGCATTATATGAAATACACTTTTTAAAACTCTAAGATCAAGTTTGGTCTGAAATAGAAATTTGTAACCAGACACAACAAACGCTGGTGAGGTGTGGAGAGACGGAACCCTCCCACACGGCTGGTGGGAACGCAGCCAGCTCCACCCTGAAGGACAGCAATGTGGAGATTTTGCAAAAGACTGAAAGTGGATCTGCCATGTGACCCAGCTGTTCCATTCCTACAAATCTACACAGAGCACAAAAACACTAATTTGAAAGGAAAGCAGCACTCCTATGTTTACTGCAGTACTATTTACAGCAGCCAAGATATGCAAACAACCTAAATGTCCTGGAACAGATGAGTGGACCAAGAAGATGTGGTACATATAGGCAATGGAATACTACTCAGCGTTGTAAAAAGATAAACTCATGCCATTTGCAGCAGCATGGATGGAGCTGAAAAGGACTATCCTAAGAGAAGTGATCTAGAAGGAGAAAGATATCTATCAGAGAGTTCACTTATTTGTGGAAGTTAGAGAAACAAACAGAAGATCAAACTTTATAACTGATCCTTGAAAGCTGACCATAGATTAAAAAAATCCAGGATATGCTTATTAAGAACTAAACAGATGTGAATGTATTTATTAAGCACTGAACT